ACTTGGACCACTTTCTTCTCAAAGCTGTGAGATGGGCAATCGGATAGGAAATTGTGCTGCTGTTGTCAGTCACAAACTACAGCCACACCTTGCTCCAATCAAAGTAATCATGCCAATGCCGCGAGGGTGTCAAAAATGTCAGCATCCGCCATCCTTGCCGTCCCCTGTCAGTATATTACAGGGAGCTTCATGTCAGTTAACACTGCAGATCCGGGGAAAATCAACAGCACTTAACCACGCCACAAGTGGTAACCCAAAATTTGGGCAGGCTTTCACAGATCGGTAGGCCTAATGATTGGTATATACTGGATTGACAGCTTCGAAAACACATAGATTAGGACTGGTCTCGAATTTTGCAGCTGGCTATTTCAAATGCGTCGGAACGTGATGAAAAAATTGATTTTGAAGATGTCAAGCAGTCAAAGTGTCATTAAGGCGGGCATTTTATGTGATTACATGCTTGTGAACTGCTGTAATGATTGGTGGAACGGACTGGGCCGCACCCTAGGATCCATGAAAAGCCGTTCTTCTTTATGTTCTCCGTGGCCTCTACAAACAGAGGTATATGCTCGCGTACATTTTGCCTGTCAGTACGGACCGTATCTAAATAAGTTCATTGGAGGCTGCCAGCTGTAATAACAATGCTTTTCTGCGGTGCAATTCGACAAACAGCTCCGGCGAAATGAAAAAGGCATGCAAACCTTTTCTGCGGTCAGCAGTGGACCCCACCCCCCTTCCCCCCCCCCCTCCCGCCGTATACTGGCTGGTTTCACCGTGCTGAGTTCCTACCGATACGGTCATGACAGGCTTTCAGCTGTGCCCGTCAGCCTAGCACGTCCAAGCTGGCGAGGTGTCGATATCCCATCTTCGAGCCACCACACGCCACTTACACGGAATTTCATTATGTGCGTATGACGGCCAACGATGGGTTGTCTCGTGTTTGGCACATCCTGCAGCAATGGCCGGCTGAGGTCGATGATGGCGGCACATGGTGCTGATTACAAGCATTGGATCAACGCTTAAAAGGGGCCTCTGTAAATGTTCTGTTGAAACCCAGCCCAAATCACTGGTGTCCAGGGCATCAATGGTTTGAGTCTCCAGACCACCAGAGAATCGCTTGCTCGGGTGCGCAGCACCAAGATATTCTTCGACGCAGTTGAAATATCAAATATATGAGCACATGCCTCCATAAAAATATGTCTGTAAAATGCACGGCTTTTACGTTACGTTGGTGTATCTCTGAATAGCGTTGACACCATAGCCAAGTTGACCTGCAGCTCTTTGCTTACTATTTCAGTTGAGATGTTCTCTCTCGCGAGATAAGCTCCACGAAATTCAGCGCAATCAGTGTCCCGAGAAATTTCTGAAAATACCTAGTATTTACAGTCACAGAACACATAAATAATGCGCCTGCTGTTCATTCGTAGCGCCCAGTATTCTTCCAAGCGGCAGCAAAAACATTGAAGTGAAGTGTGATTTAATTACTGAGAGCTGACGCGTTTGACTATTTCCTTTGCCAGGGATATTATGCATCAGCTGTGAAACTCCCAGAGGCACATCAAGAAAACTAAAACTGTCTCATGAATTATGCAGCACCTCGAATATTTGGCTCCGTGGATGGCTGGAAACGCAGCTTAAATATGAAATGCTCACAATATTGGGTCGCACGCTTCAAACGGGTCGGTCATTCTTTTCGACAGACTGGAGTTCGACATGGAAACCGTTGCTTCCTGCAGACAGACAAGCCCTTAACAATACGCCGGATTATTTTCGCGGACAGACAGGGCCAATAGACGGGAGAATAGCTCACAAAAGCAGGAGCGGTTGAAAACTCGACTAAGAATGGTCGTGATTATCGTAATCATCAAAACGACCACCAACATCATTACCAATGTGCATTGTTTTTTGTCGTCTGAAAGATAGCGCCTTGACTTAGAAACTGTCTGTTGCCTGACGACGGGATCCCCCCCCCCCCCCCCCCCATGCATGACTGAGGCGTGGAATTTCCAATAATCCATGGGTATGCTGAAAACTCTAACAATTCAAAGAGTTACTTAAACTTGAAGCATTGCAACGATGGTGGCATTTGCTAATGGAATTTAGCACTCAAAATATGTTAAAAGTGGACTAGTGCTTATTCAGGGGCCACCAACTACGGCGAACTACCAGTAAGGTTATGATCTTGAGTATGGCCAATAAGATCTATGATCTATATATATATATATATATATATATATATATATATATATATATATATATATATATATATATATATATACATGTGTGTGTGTGTGTGTGTGTGTGTGTGTGTGGGTGTGTGTGTGGTGTGGTGTGGTGTGTGTGTGTGTGGTGTGGTGTGGGTGTGGTGTGGGTGTGGTGTGTGTGTCCACAGCTAATCCTGAATGTTGGGAGGATTTCTCCAACTTCTGACGGTGCCCCCAATGGTTCCGTTTCAAGAATGGGTGCCGCCGAGCAATACAACTCGATGACCTATCGTAGGTAGGTGCCACCGCTGGCATTTGTTCTGTCATTGCTGAAACCACTCACTTCAATGGCAGGTGCGCATGTAAGGCATGCATCTACGCAAGCGTGTTTTGTTCATGATAACTACAGATGGCCGGCGCGGCCCCTGCGTTTAACCTGCGGAAAGATGCGGGAGAAAAAACCGGAGTCATGAGAACCACTCGGATAATCGCCAGAGCCCAGCGCAGTTAACGTTCGCACGGCGGTTGACCATCGGTCCACCTGCGGGATAAAGCGATAGCTTGCGATGGGCCAACGACGCTGGTGGAATGTTTAGTCCCAAAGTTATGTGCTGGGTGAACGTCAAGATGAAGGCAACGACAGGAATGACACCAGTTCTATAAAATGAACTAAATTGCCGAGGGCTTGTATTCAACATTATTTGCAACCTGCGCACGGTAAAGGCACAGTATTAGCAAAAGCGACGGCACTTTGCGCTTGGGAATAGAGGTCCGATGCAGTAACTTCGATAGATAAATCCAGACTTTGGCCCAAGTTTCCCAATTCTTCTCACGTTAGACGGGCATTTGCATTTAAACGGGAGCGTGGACCACCATTGCGATTCCGAGCGTCCGCCAACTGAAAGATATCGAACTGATTGTTATGGATATAGAGCCATTGGTAAGCCGCGCAGCCATTCGTGCTGCATTTCGGTAAATAGCGGTCAAGTTGATACGTACCCCCTGGTATCAGTAGCCCGTTTCCGGGTATATTTTCTGAGCTCAAATCAAGAGATATCCTTTCGTACGCCGCGTCCGATGGGTAAGCCTATGCAAAAGTTTCGACTCCTGAGTATTCCAGTAATTATCGCGATAGATGTTACATAGAATGGGGAAATAGGTTGTCTCTTACCGTTGTAGCCTGTTAGTCTGAAAAGTGAGTAACCAACCGGATTGGATGATATCATTCATTTGTCTTTGGCCAGTGCTGGGGTGGGAGCTCGTGCGAGGAGGTGTGCATGAGACTTTACTAACCTACGCCTCCTGGCGATTTTTAGCTGAGCGTTCTGTGTGAGCCATGGGTGACCATCCATCTTTTGTTTTGCTTCAGCGAGAAGTTGCAATCTTTCATTTTTAAAAATGGTAAAAATGGAACAAGCGACAAGCTAAAAATTTATCTTCAACTCGCGTACAATGCGCGAGTTCTGTGCATGCTCTTGGTTTAAAGTGACCAGACTTAGGTCCCCTCAGAGTATTTGTGGAGCACCTACTGCACCGTTTCAAACTTTCCATTGACTGGACCAGCCAACGAACATAGACCGGAAGTAGGCAACTCCCTCGAAGACCGCTGTGCGACGGAACCACGCCTGGTGCCACCTCAGCCCGTGCAGCAAACATCCCGCCCAAGGGACCAGAAGTAGGCGACTCCCTCGAAGACCGCTGTGCGACGGAACCACGCCTAGTGCCGCCTCAGCCCGTGCAGCAAACATCCCGCCCAAGGGCGGCGTTCGTTCCCCCTGCCCGCCTCTGAATCTGGGTTCACATTGTGATCACTGCACCGCCGGTCCAGCGTCTTCCGGTGGTCAGCTGAGACGTGGCGCGAAATCCTCTTACCGACAGCTGCCGGGCGCGTTATTGGCTTATCGGTGCGGGATAGCCCAGACGACTGTCCGGCGCTGATGGGGCAATAGCCCCGGTAGTGCCCCTCCCCGATCGACATGGTCACTGAGGCAGCACAAAGCTTCGGATTACCCAATGCATGCGGAAGTGTACCTGCCCGGACTGCGTGATACTGCTAACGGTGCGCCTACTTCCGTGCACTAATACGTCCCCCCATCACGCTGCATGGAACTTCTCGTTTCGTCTCCCTTCATTCACTGCCACATTCCGCATCACGTGCGCCAATATCCTGAACACAAGGTTATCATATTGGCTCATAGATGGCAGGGTGATGCAGAGCCCGTCACGCGCATGGGTGAGCAGCAAACTTGTATTGGTGTCGACGCGGATATTTGCGCTCATTTGCTGGAACAAGGCCTGCTAAAAATGTTACCTTTATCACACACTAAAATCGATCGAGTAAGGTTGCACAGCAGTGGGCCAATGTTTCAAGGTGCTCGCTGGATGCAGTCTACTTCGCAGGATTGTGGACGGGGAAAGGGAAGCGTCCGACTTGCTCCAGAATTCGGCATAACGGCTACATTACGGCATGAAAAGAAATATAATCAGAGACCTTGATACCCCACTTCCACAGCACACACTTTTCTCCTGTGAACGAGCCAATGGCTGGATGTGTCGCTCTGGCTGAGGTAACAGCTAATGCTACATTTCCGCCGGCTCTGCTAGACTTTCGGACTTCTGGGAACGGCTCCGTGGGATTTTCTGCAATTCCAGATTTCTTCGATTTCCTCACTAGCCAGTTCGTAGCTTCGTGGCAAATCAATCGGTTCCCTGCTGGGTTCAAAGTGATTCCTCAAACCCTACGACCCCCGCTGCTTTCACCGCCGCTATTACCGCTGGCGTTCGTTGCACGTGTGACATCCGTCGAGAGCATTTATTTTCATTTCGATAGGGGTGCCGCACTGAAGGCATACCGGCCGTCACAATACGGCAACCAGTCAGCATAGAAAACAGCCAGTAGCGAGGCCATTTCCATTGCACCGCCCAGTAGCATGACGTTCGTCCTCACAACCCTACAGTTCCCGCGGGCGGGTGACCACGTCACTCCAATCAGTACACGACCTCCACCCTTACCTCCCCCGGCGCCGGCCTCGCACCCCAGACGATTCGGCGCGCGGTCCGGCCGATCCTTAAAAGCGGACTTTGTGAACACGTCGGCGTGGTGAGGGAGCACCGGCATGGACCGCGCTCTACACGGGCCTGTAGGCGAACCCAACCCCCGCTTCAATCGACGTGTGGAGCCAGCGCTGGCCACAGCTCCGACGAACGGCTGTTTCTGCCACCCGGGTCACAATGTTCTAACATGGCGTGACACTGAGTGCCGACTGAGGCCCATCCCCAGTCTTCTGTGTGAGGATGCCGCCCCTCCCCTCCCGCTATTTCTCTCCCCCGGAGATCCTCCACCGCGACTGTCGTCCGGCCGGCTAGTCGATGAGTTTCTTGGCCTTGAAGTAGCGGCGCAGGTAGAGCACCTGCCACGTGGCCAGGCCGAGCAGGCAGCTCATGCCGAACACGCTGAAGTACAGCACCCGGGAGCTGGTCGACTCTGCGGGTCCGTGCAGCTGCGGTCAGCGGGCCGGCACGAGACGGGCGCAGCCACCGAGCGCGGTGGAGGGGGCCAAACAATTCAACCGTTGGTCGGCACATCACAGCGCCGTGACAGAACAAAACGAGATCGGCGTCACCATTGGATAAGACAGTAAATGTGGGCGGGCTGATTGCAAGCAAATGCACATCTCCAGGTACGTACAGAAATTGTACATCATTTCCTGAAACTTCGATTTTGAAGCGTGGGATAACTAGCCGCGCTTTAGAGCAAGCTATCATGTCTACATGCAGGAAGCCATCCACTCTCGCGTCAGGCAGGTCTTGCGGGTCCCTACGGAAGCAGACCCCTCATTATCAGCATTGACTCCCTTGCGGACGATGCCTACTACCCGCTTCGACCTGTCAACAGAACCTCTTTTTTAACCGAAACACCGGTTTGAAATTGATCGCTCTTCACTGTCCTGGGCGCCGCCGGTCAGACAGTAAGCATTCTTACCACCACCTGACCGGCGCCATGAGCCGTCGCGTCATCCGTGACCTGGCCAGCATGTCAATCATAACAGCTTCAGCATGTATATATATATATATATATATATATATATATATATATATATATATATATATTTAAATCAAGAATGTGTAACTTATGTTAATGTCTGCGGGGTGTTTCGCGAGATAGGCCTAAGTGGCACACCCGGCCGGCGGCAGGCACTGACCGTTGGTGTCACGCATCTGCTCCTCCCGATCACGCATGTAGGCGAAGTTCTGCACGATTGCCTCTGACATGTCCTCGAGCTTCTTCAGCTGCATCTCCAGTGGCTTCAACTTGGCTGCTTCAGCCAGCTGCCCAATCAGCCAGATGTCAGGGCACACGCCACTCACGCAACCACACCAAACGCCGTTCTCAAACTAATGCAGGAAGGAACCCACTATCATGCAACCCACAACTGGTTGAATGGCAAAGGCCAAATGTGGTCACCGAATGGCTACTTATTGTCACACACACGCATGTATGCATGCACCCATGCACACATGTACACACATACACACACATGGAATGATAATGTAGCACAATGCAACATTTCGACTCCCAGTACCCAAAATGAGCAAGGGTATGCCTTCCATCATGCAAAGCACAGGTCTGTGGCAGAACAGGTCACATATAGTTTTACCAACTGCAAACATACAGCATGGGAAATTAAAGACTCACCCCTTCATAGCTCTTGGCTTCAACACCATGCTTGGTATTCAGCGTGACTTCATGGACCATGGCAGATTGACCTTTGGAGATAGAAAGAGTGAGTGTTATTTAGTAAAATCCCAATTTTCTAGATGTTCAGCTAGTGTCATCAAAAACACATGGCCGTGGCAGCAGTGCCCATTCCTAATCTTTCCCAGATATTATTTGTATCAGACCAGTAGCATAAAATCCACTATCGCTGACCATAAAACTTCCCAATGGGCCAAAAATAATTTGTCACAAAGTGCTTGGCAAGTGTCGTAAACATCTTTAATTGTCTCTATCCACTAGCATCATGTCAGCTGCACAGATGTGCATCCAGAAATACAAACCAACTAAAAAAGTTAACTTATGATGCATAAAGAAATAAATACAATGTGAAGTCTTAATATGACTACCAGGTACCAAATCACCCTGCATATCAATGCTTCAGCAAATACTAGGATACTCATCTTACCTGATAATTATATGACCTACACAGCAGCGCTTTTGTGAATGCTAGCACATCTATCTCAATGGCCTAAACCAAAAGAAAAGCCACCAAACCAATGTCAAAGCCTGAAGTCTCATTGGTCATACCTGCATGGACCCTTGATGCAAAACATATCTGATATGTAGTGTCCTTGTCTGTGGTGAAGGCAAACTTTCCATGCCCCTTTGCATCTGCTCTGTTGGCCAATACATGGCCATTTTGGTCCACCACCTGTTCAGAGAAAACATGTTAGGTGGAACAGCAAATGTGCCTCGGTACTTGCCATGTACCCGAAACCTGGAGCATGCATGCACGGCATAACTAAATGATGTAAATGGTACTATGGCATGATTCCTCATGGAGAAAAAGTTTGCTATCACATGTTCAACATGATTTCAGACACAAAACATGGATATTAAACATGCTGTCTGTTAGCACCAACCTGGAAGTCCACAACTTGTCCAGGAAACTCTGAAATTTCATACTCCCCAGTCACCAGCGTCTTGGCATGGACCTTCTCAACTAGACATTTGTGGTTATTTGGATTCAGTTGGAACATGATGCCCTCAACACATAGCAGTCCACTCAGAACCAAAAGCACCGCTTCTAGTAGCGACCGCATATCTGGCGTCCAACAAACTGTTCACAATAAGATTCAGCTGGTGGGTTAACTGCAGTATCTGGGTCTCGGGTACACAAAATAGACTAAAGGCGACTTAACATCCCGATTTTTGACGACGGATTATCACACGGCCACGAATCAACCCCAGAAAACCCTGCAAACAAGCAGCTGCAACCCATGCAAACAACTTTCACTCCACCGGTAGCGCCACTGCCACAGCCTCTTTCGTCGACGTGTATCAGAAGTAATGTGCTACCATATCAGTAAAAAATATGCTTTCCTTTCCTCTTTGGCATGAAACCTTCAGTCGATCAAGACCCCGCTCGATCCGTCGTCAGCACGATTGTCGCTGGAATGCGTGACGTCATGCGTGCTGACGGAGCGTTCAGACCGCGTTCGATCTGTCGTCAGCACGGTTGTCAGCAGGAATGCGTGACGTCATGCATGCTGACGGTGCGTTTGATGTGTACGCCGACGGAAAATTTTTCAAACTTACTTTCCCTTCTTCCTTTTTCTTCCTATTTCTTCCTGTTGTTTCAGTGCACACACTAACTTTGGGTTACCGCTGACCAGGACACACTATGTACATAGTGGTGTCTGGAAGTGTGACTTCTGTTCCGGCATAACAAGTTTTATCCCTTCCATATGTTGAGTGTTTATTCCCATTTGTGATTCATTTCAATTTCCTCCCCTCATTTTAAGTGCTTGTTTTTTATGGGTGCCAATTTCTGAAAATGATTGGGGGGCAGGGTTTTAGAGGTCGTCATAGGGGAACGGGTAAGAAAACTTCTCGGATGCAGTGCACGTATATTCTTGGTTTCTGGATATCCATTGTGAATGAATATGCATGCATATATTTATATATATATATATATATATATATATATATATATATATATATATATATATATATATACTACACTTACCGCATATTTTTAATCTCATGAGCCTAGCTACAGCGATCACATATGGAACACTGGCAGTTTGCATAATTTTTTATAAACGCACTTGTTTCGTGAGGCAGAAGGGACGCAGTTATACCTCTCTCTCGTGAACCGGAAGGTGAAATTTGCGTACAATATGTCATTCTCAGCGTCTGAGTTTTGTTGGTGTATATATTTGTGTATTAACAAGAAAATTGTTCACAATACCTACATCAGCCGTTGCATCCCGTTTACATGAAGCTTCTTGACATTCAAAAAAGTCATTGATAAACCAATGCATTTCAGCTAGTGAAAAACAAACCCAAGCACTCCTGCACGCATCATTTCAGAGAATGGTTCGCAACTTTTTCCTAAAGCGCTTTGGCATATGCTCTTCTCTCGATAATACCTTTCTCCGCTCACCTCATCAAACACGCATCGCAAGTGAGTTGTAATTCCGGGAGACACCGTTCCAAGGTGTTGTGCCACCGAGGGGAAAGCAACTCCAACCCACTTTAGCTCGAATGTTTGGCAAATGAGACGGTCATAATGTCAATGTCACGCGCAACGCATGTTGACTGCAAAAGCGTTGCTAGTTCTGCTGGCTTCTCAGTTCCCACGTCCGTCTGGGAATATGCAACCTGTGTTTAGAAACGAGAAGTAAAGGAGCTACCTAGCATCGCTTTGACCACGCGAGCTCTCAAGTCTTAGAGGAAAAATCGCGAAGGTCAGCGTTGCAGTCTCTGTACGCCGCTCGGCGTCGGTCCCCTTGTTGATATCAGGCGGTGGCCGGCGAGAGGACAAAATGGTGACGTCTCTCAAAGGCGTACTTTTGAACGTTTTAGAATATCGATTCGAACATTAAGAAGGTTATCCAAGGGCATGTTTTGCCGGTGCAGATTCCGTGTGTTGAGTGCTTCTTTCCATTTTCAATTCATTTTAATTCCTTCCCTCTCATTTTAAGTGTTTGCTTATAACGCAAATTAATTCACTGGGCACTGCAACCACACACCACACCAATCATTGTCCCTCACTTTTTCATGGATAATCTTGGCCTTTTATTTTCCTCCTTATCTATCTTACGTCGCATTTGCCCCGAAGATAGAGACAAGTGCCCCCAAACCCCATCCAACGTGCTCGCCATCGCAAGAGCTCCTAAATCAAGCCCCGCTTCAGTCAGTAATTTCTCATCTGGTAGCGCTTTCTCTCCATGCTGACGGACTGACAAATGCGGTGTTCGATCTGTCGTCAGCGCGTTTGTCCGCACCAATCATGGTCCGGTAGTCGCCCTATGTGACGTCTCATGACCACAAAGTCATGCGGCCTGTGACGTCATGCACCGACTGACGATGACGCCATGGTCGCGTTCGATCTGTCGTCAGCACGTTTGCCAGCTGGAATGTGTGACGTCGTGTGTGCTGACGGTGTATGTAATGTATGGGATGACAGGAAAGTTTTTTCCTATTTTGTTTTCCCTTCTTCTTCTACCTTTTACTTAAGTCCATACACTAACTCTGGCTTACCGCCGACCATGACACACTACGTACAAAGTGGTGTTTGGAAGTGTGGCTTCTGTTGCGGTATTGCCATCATCTCCCATCCATATGTTGAGTGCTTCTTCCCATTTCCATTTCATCTCAATTTCGTTCCTCTCATTTTAAATGTTGACTCATAACACTATTAATTTACTGGGCAATACAACCACACTTTACACCAGTCACTGTCACTCACCTTTTCATAGCTGCTCTTGGCATTTCAGTTCCCTCATCTATCTTACGTCGTATTTCACCCAAAATTAGAAACAAGTGACCCCCTCCCCACTTGAGTTACTCGCCAACGCAAGAGTTACCAAATAAAAGTCCCTGCTTTAGTTAGAGTGACTTTTTAATCTGGTAGCGCTTTCTCCCCAAGCTGGCAGGCTGACAAAAAGTCCTGGCATCATCATCATCCGGCGCGTGACGTAACAAGGCACGTAACTGTGGTCACGTGACGTGACGTAGGGCGAATACTGGGCCGTGATTCGTGCTGACAAAAGTGCTGACGACAAATCGAGCGCGGCCTTGTTTGCGAGCGCGTTAGGTGGGTTGGGGGCACTTGTCTCTAATTTTGGCGGAAATGCGACGTGGGAAAGATAAGGAGGGAATGGAAATGCCAATGAAAAATAGCCATGAAAAGGTGAGTGACAGTGATTGGCGCGGTGTGTGGTTGCCTTGCCCATCAAATCAACAGCGTCAAGTAAACACTTAAAATGAGAGGAAAGAAATTAAAATGAATTGGAAATGGGGAGGAGCACTCAACCTAAGGATGGGATGGATGATGGTACTTCTGAAGCAGAAACTACGTTCACTTCCAAACACCACTTTGTACATACTGTGTCAGCGGTGAGCCGAGTTAGTGTGTAGTGGAAAGATAAGGTAAAGAAAGAAGGGAAAGTAAAGTTTAAAAAACTTTCCGCTCGGATCCAAACTGGCCGCTGGTGGGCAAGCTGGCCAAATGTTAGCATAGGATGCAAGCGGGCTGGTGTCTGGGCCCCCCCCCCCCCCCCCCCCATCTGAGACCCAGATCGGCTGCCCATACGCTGTCATCCTGACTATGTGCGTAATAATTTTTGTGCCGTAGGCTTCCTCGTTCGGTTTTACCATGCTATGTACAAATAAGAGGGACAGTTGGCATGGATCTCATCCGCATGGACTGCGCGTGGGCGAGGAAGCTCACGTCAACATTGGCCGATTCACTGTCATGTCACTTGAGGCAGTTGGTCGGAAGTTTGTACGCTAGGGGCATGGAGTGAGTCCTCTATTTACCTTTCAGTGGTTGATGGATCATTGGTCACGTTTAGAACTCCCCGGTAAATACGGGTGTCCCGCTGGCCGGCTGCCCGCTGGGATCTCGGCAGTGGGGAATGGAGGTTTCGCATCGATTCGGCGGCGCAGAGGTGCCGCTCAGCGGGCCGGCTGGCTTTGCGGGCTGACTGGCCAGGTGGGTCGGCAGCACCAAGCACACCGCTAATTGCTGTCTTCTAAATCTTGGTCGGAGTTTCTGGCGGTGGCATGCAACTGATCAGATGAAGTCGCTTTCAGCTGCTTGGTGTTCAAATGGGTCCAAAAATGCCGTATTTTTCGTGTACCATTCAGCAGGAGAGCAGCCAGACGCCTCTTTACAAAAGCGCTTGGAGTCTTCACGTAATTCATGCATGGTGTCATCTGCCACAATCGATGCTGATCTCTACAGCATCAAGATGGGGTGCGGGGGGGGGGGCGCACCTAAGCCAAATCGCCGTCGAACATCTGTGATAATCGTTTTTCTCAAACTCGTGCTGTTTTAGACATGTTTATCTACAATGCCTCTTCGCGAGGCATTTACATGTGTATTACGTCATCTACGCTGCGAGCATTTGTTGAGTATTATAGAGCTCTTTAAAGCCACGAAAGTTGTCCAGCGCAGCTCTGAGGAACATTACACGTGCATAAGACGGTACTGATAGCCTCATTCCTCGTCGAACAACCAGGAGAAAGGATGCATGAATATTTGGTAGTGTATTCAGTATCAATACATAATGCACCAAGGCTGAAATCCACGGAGCTTCGCACCATGCAGCCTTTCAGAACTCAGTCATACACAGTGTACAGAAATCCAAATAGGAAAGTAAGTGAGCCCATTTCTACAAAAAGTCGGCGCCGAACCTTAACGTGCATGTTTGATCATGGCCGAGCATGCGAATGTGGTAAGTGCCTTTATGCTTGAAGCGTGCTAGCTTGAAATTGCTTGAATATGAGTGATGCATGATACGTGATGTGTGATATCCATATCTAACTGAAACAACGACTGCCCCTGAGGAGCACATACGTATGAATATGTGCTCACAAACACATTACTACCATTAAAACTTTACATGGCGACGTGTAGGCCCCCGCAGCAATTTTTGCGACTGAAGGGTATCGACCTCCAAGCAACTCATAAGACTTTTTCCCATGAGCTTTTCCGCCCAGAATATGTTCACTTCGATAGTTTCCCGGCATGTGTTTTGCCACACAACTTGTATCTTTTGTAGCTGTCTGCATGATTAACTTTTGGCATGACAAGCTTTTGAGCATACCTATGTTGTTCTACTGTAACTTGGCATGCAAACTTTGTCTAAAAAAATTGCTGTGCGAGCTTTTTCTGTGCGTGCTTTTGGATTCAACAGAGTTATGGCAAGCCACCAGATGACATCCGACGGGTGTTGTCTCTGTTTGTGGGCAAAGCACGTACAGAAAAAGCTGTGTGACAGCTGTTTGGAGGTTACAAAGTTGG